GCGCTAGTTTGTCAACACTACCACAGACACGTCCCGGTTTACGCTGATGGTGAAAGAAACACCCCTCGGGCGTCGCGGGTTTTTTTAGACGACCCCCGGCGAAGGTCCCTAATCCAGCGAGACTGACGATTCAAGTAGTACACCTATCCCCCTGTTCAGGCCACCCAATAAGCGGACCTCTGGTGCTAAGATAGCGCTGGGGATCTCGGGATGCTCAACTAAACATCTCCGTAGGAAACAAATATATGTCCTATGACAGAACCTTTGCTGTGGTGTACTCAAAAACTTCATAACATTTTTATTGCGATAGCGTGAAGGGGGTAGTAATGCATAAAAGATGGGGTAAGCCGCGCGATTTTGCGATACCAAGAACTACAAGTTTCGCTATCTAACAGAAAAAACAGTCGTCATTGCATTTATGAAGCTAGATATTTTTAGCACCCTCCAACGGGGTGGCACTCTTACTAAGTCAGACCCGAACTAATGATGCGACTAATTAATTATTTGAATGCACATTTGTCACAACATCTGGCGTTGGCAACCTCTGCTGATAAAATATTCGATTTATAGCTTTTTTATTTCTCGTATACGAAGTATAGAAGACCTATTGTAATCTTGCAAAAAATCAAAATCGATATTTTAACAAATTTCGACGTTTTACACCTCCCTACGCGGAGGGGTGTTGGGGGGTGGGTGGTCTGAGAAAGTAACTTAAAAGGGACATCAAAGCGCCGATGTGCTTCTATCCATCAGTACCGAAGTTGGAATTGTCTCAACTACTTTTGCTAAAGCCTTCTTGTAGAACACTCAAGAGAGATAATTTAAATTATACACATTTACTATCACATTTTTCTGTAAAACAAAAATAAGTAAACGTACATAAAGCTGAAATTATTGCAATTATATTCTTTTTCATTATTCGTAGAATACAGGATAGTACAGAATAGTAGTTCTACCATTACAAAAAACGTCAATTTTACATTGTAAAATTACAACGGATTAAGAAGCAAAAGTCGGCTTAATATCTAGCCGGCTCTCGCGCAATAGACTTTGATTTATTTTCAAAAGAATGTTGCCGACAACAGCGTGTTTGATTGTAGGAGAAAGAGAACTCGGGTTCACAGTTGTTTAAAAACAAAGGGAAAAAGAATATACAAAAGCGTGGAATGGTGTCTATAGAATAAAGATAATCTAAACGCAGCTACATTATTCTTTTTACAAAACAACCATCAAGTCAAACAAGAAAGTTATTTTTTTAACTATTAAAAAAATTGTATATGGTCGGCTGTGGGCCCCTAAAAGGCGTCGTCCCCCCTCCCTCCGCATTGCGGGGTCTTGCTGCACTGTAGTTCCGCCCTGACATGAAGATGGATCCTGCATGATCTGAGAAAGAAAGAGGATCCCATCGCAAGACAAGCGTTAGACTGAAATCCCCAGGGGAAAAGAATAGCCGGTCATGACAATCCTGAAGGTGGGCAGTGGAAGGAGAAACAAAGGTTCTTGGGCCTATGTGGGCTTAACTAAAGGGAGCTGCCAAAAGAGGAGAGGTTTGACCGTAGCCATTTGCTTCTTTTGAGTTCCAAAACACTACATACTTCACATTATCACATACATACTTCTCAACGCTCAACCAATTTTTGTTTGCCTAACGTGAGCCAGGTACACATCAGAGCTGGGTTGACTGAAACTTTCAGGCAAGCATCCACACACGTATGTCGTCCCATTCGGATATGATAAAAGTAGAAATTATATAATAGCACATATACATGTTACTTTTTAAATCACAGCAGAACATTTTTAAAACAAAATTTAAAATGACACAAATATATAGACCCTAATAATAATAATAATAATAATAATAATAATAATAATAATAATAATAATAATAATAATAATAATAATAATAATAATAATAATAATAATAATAATAATAATAATAATAATAATAATAATAATAATAATAATAATAATAATAATAATAATAACAATAATAATAATAATAATAATAATAATAATAATAATAATAATAATAATAGTAATAATAATAATAATAATAATAATAATAATAATAAATGTAGCTATAATGTATTACATTTCCTATTGTATCTTTTTTTTAATGAATAACACGGGAACTTTATTTTCTTTTAACGCTATTTGGTTGTTGTTGTTTAAATTTTCCAGATATAAATGATTATAAATAAATTAGAAGAAACAGAACATGTCTGCATAGAGGGGAATAATATGGTAAGCACTATGCACAATCCAGAGGCGTAGTGACCCCTCGCGGCGCTCGTGGACAAGCTTTCAATTAGGCGCCCCCCCCCCCCCCGAAATATTTTTTATATTTATTATTAAAAATGTACCCCCCCCCCCCCCCCGTCGCTACGCCTCTGGCACAATCGCCTTTGTCTTTCCCAAAGTAGGTTGAGTGCCATTTAGACCTTATTGGACGAGTGTTCGTTCTATTCATTTGAACCCGGATTCGAACTAGAACCTTCGGGTTAGCGTGGGCGATGCAGTCCCCATTTGTCTATATATTATAATATAAGTCTATATCTTTATATCTGTGTTTCTTTATTCCTTTCATTCCTTGTGCGTGAAGATCACTCCAAATGACGTGGCGGGTTATTTCATTTCGGGAAAGATAACAATCTAAATATACACTTGCAAGAAGTGTATTTTTTTATCCACGCAAACGGGAATTCCAGACATCCCAGCATTCACAGGGAAAGAGACAAAGCTCGTAAATAAAAACTTAAATAGGGTAAGCCATCTAAAACATAATTGTTGTCTAGATCTAGATGTTTTTAGGCCTAACATTTTTACAAATTGAAATCTATGTTAAAACTATAAATGAAACAAGAAAACATTTTTATATTTTTCAAAACATTAATCCTCCTCAAAATGTGAAATAATTATTAAAATTTAAGGAGTCACCTGTTTTTCATATTACTAATCGCGGGCGATTTTACGTACATAAAACGATAGATTACAAAAACTATTTATTGAAAAGTTCAGTAATGTACATAATAGTTACATTTATTATAGATCTGCTTAAATAACATTCTACATTTGTTTTAAATAACGCTCTATGCGTTTACCGTTTGAGTCCGTTTGACTATATTTCTGATAGAGTGAAGAGCTAAAATACTAATTGCTAAACTGTTTAAACTTATTAGTTGTCTTTATCCGTATATCAGCTAGAATATAATAGTTACGTATTGCCTGTTATTGAAATAGTGAATTAAAAGTAAGTTTTGAGACATCTACTACGTTTTTGTGGAACCATGATTTGGGGTTCGTCAAAAGTAGATGCATGTGAATGGGTGTTGGGATGGTCAAAAAATTTTAATTTGGGATGACGTCATAAATGGATGACAATTATGCTAACTACGTTGATTTAGCTGGAAAAGAAAAACAACTCTAATCTCTATTTTATACTAAAAATGTAAGCGAATCCACTCCAATATTAGATCTAGATTTAGTTAGATTCGGCGGTCAAATCTAATAAGTTACCAGGAAAAAAGAACGCATTTTTTTTTTAAATTTTGAATTTCTGTTTATTTTTTTTATTGTTAAAGTGCGACTTCACAGTTTAAAAAAAAAGTTCCCTACCCTTCGTTACACTATCCGACCCAAATTAATGGGCGACCACTAAGTAGGCCTACGTGATCAGTGGTGTGCAGACCTTTGTAGATGCCCGGGGCCAACTCAAGAGGAAGATGCCCCCCTATATACATATATATATATATATATATATATATATATATATATATATATATATATATATATATATATATATATATATATATATATATTAATACCTATGACTAAGTTATAGCACATATATGTGTGTTGATGTTGTAAAAACACGCTATTATATTCAATTTTGCTTGACAGAGGTATTTGTAGTAGCCAACTTATACAGTGGCAAGAAGTTTTTTTGTAAATTGTGTATGCACTATAAAATTGTAAAGTGATATAATATCGGTCTGAAATATTGTTATTTATTTTAGGCCCACCCTCTTCATATCAGAAAAGTAAACAGAATTAGATGAGCACACAACTAAATAATCTACCGGATGTTACATAGACTCTGACGATATTAAACATCATATAAAGAAAAATTGTTACATTCAACCTAAAAATCTACACGACTATTGGTGAGTTTTCATGTGTGTGTTTCTCTATATATGATTACTAGTGGAATATCTTAGCCCACTCATAATATCTACATTCAGTCACAAGGTCACACCACATATGACAGTACAAACTATGATACATTTAAAATTACTTAGAGATAAATAAAGAATTAAGCAAGTTTTTGTTATTGTTGAACTATAGTCTTTATTAAATTATGTAAATGCTTACATTTTTATTTTTCTGTTCATGTGTTTTGAAGAATATTTAGACTTTGAGGCAAGAGACTGAAAGAAAATTTGCTGCTGCTTGTTTCAGGTAAGGATAATCAATATTATATATAGCTTAACAAATGTAAAAATTGAATAGATATTGTGAGATGGTATTGTGCCTTCATTTTTAGGCAAGTACACTAATACACTTGCACCATCAGCATCTTGATATTCTGGTTACAACAGAATGTTTATGTTGTGTGTTTGCAGCAATAATAGTTTATCTATGGTGTCAAAGACTGCTTTAAAATTAATATTTATTTACATTGTCTATGCAAGGACTTCTAAGAAAAAATTCATTTAAAAAGAACTTCAAGGCATCATGGATTTAATATAAAAGAAGGAAAGTATAACATACAGATCAAAATATAAATGCTGCAACATCATCATAATTTGTAGAAATCTTTTACCATCATTTGAACAACAGCTGGTAAATTCTTAAGTCTAAAATTAAAATTTATTTTCAGAACATAACAACTTTAATTTTTTTTTGTTGGCCTCAGACATGTAATTTACAGCCTAAGTTTGCCTTGCATGTTCGCTTTAGTATTACAGTTTTCATCATCGGCTTGTGAGGACTGATACAGGTTTACAATAGTAATACTTCTTTCTACTTTTTAGCCTACTTTCATTCATTTAAGATAGTTTACTTATACATAGATCTAATACAAAACGTCTAATTACAATTTTTTTTTAAAAGACAACCTAAACATGCATATGTGTAATTAAATGATGATTCAATGGATTTTTTTTTCCATCGGCTTGCTGGACTGAGGGGGATTTGGGCTTTTAACTTATTTTAAGTAGAGCTGAAATAAATTTGGGATAACAGAAAAATAAAATGATAAAAATTTTAAGCAACAGGAAAAGTTATGTTGATTACAATGAGACATATTAAATCAAAAATTCTTCCCTTTCAAACTTCCGTATCTATAGCAGTCCTTCCACAGTTTTTTAAACATATTTTTAAAAAAATTTATTTATTTGTTTTAAACATTTAAAATAGTAATAATAATTTATTTGATGGTTTTATACAACTTCAAACCATGAACATCAATTGTATATATAGTAATTAAATGGAGAAAATATAATGGCATAAGAATTAGACTAAAATAAGGTGTGCAAACTCGGTTTCTTTTGACTGCTGAGTTTACTGTCGTCCATCCTCAGCTGCGAAGTTAAAAGTTCACATAAAAACCTCTTTAAAAGATCTAAAAGTGGATACAATACAAAGAAAATCTGTCTTTGTCCCGGGTAAGCAAATTTAAATTTAAATCACATCATTTTATGTAAACAATCACTGTGTAAAATATTTGTTATTTTAACCTGGTAATATTTATTAGTTATTATATTTTTTAATGTCATAAACATTTTGATTGTCATTTATGATTATATTTAAATATGTAATAATTCTATCTTATTAAATATTTTAGCTATTTCTGTAAACATTATTTTTAAATATTCTGCTCTGGGGGAAAAATATAGATTTATATAAAAATTTCCCTTTATCTCAATTATACCTCTCAGGACATCATGAGGCCGAAATCTGCTATGGAGGTGAAGCTGACTTACACAAGCACTATAACAGCTGTAACAAGAATCCAGGTCATGTCAACTTTATACCTGTTAATGATTTTAACTTGGATCATCTCCCCTCACGTTACCGTGGCGTCATCATGTTGGAGCTAATCAAAACTTTGTCTGCCCTAACGGTCCTGATAAAGGTCAAGTACATCAGTAAAGAGAGACCAAAGTCTGTTCCATGTTTCAGAGGACAGTATCCATTTTATAACACCAGAGGAAAGAAAGTGTTGAGGACAGGGACAGGGAGGGTGTTTGATGTGGTCAAGTACTCAGAGAGTGACAACAAGGGCACTTGTCCATGTGGCAAGTGTCAACACTCTGACACACCAAGCAAAGTGTGGGGGGAGGTTCGTGTGTTGACAGCCACACACGTGGTGTTTGATGACAGTGAGGCGAGACAGACCAGGTGTGTTGTAGGTTTTGATGACAATAAAAGTCCAGTGGTCAGTCTTGAGGGCTGGAGAGTGTGGGCGTCAGACATTGAGGGAGACGGGTGTAAGTTTACATGTGTGTCTTGTGATTTAGTGTTGCTTGATGAACTGGACAAGATGTGTCGGCACTTCGGTGATCTGCGTGAGAAAGTAGAGGACGAATACTGCAGATTTTCTGCTGTGGACAAGTTGACCGTTATAGTGTCACATCCTCATGGCTGTCCTAAACAGGTCTCTGTAGGACCATGGATACACGCTGATGAGGGGGAAGGTTGGTACACCAAGTCCACGTACACAACATGTACATGTCCAGGCTCCAGTGGAGCAGATGTCTACATGCTGGGATATGTCGTATGGGCATCACGTCCCCACAGTGGATCAAACTCTGAAGGAAATTATAGTGGGGAGGCAGGGCGGTGTTGATCCATCTGTAACTGTTGGTTCTCACTCCTTGTCTAATGTAACTGTTGGTTCTCTCCCCTTGTCGAATGTAAACAAACAAAATAGCAGCTCCTGCATTAAACGTGTGTGTCAAGACTTGAATGTGTTCATCAGCAACTTTGTATTCTGGTAAAGGAAGGAAATAAATTGTTAAGTTTCTTTCACATCATTTGTTTAGAGTTGTTAGACACATAAAAAAATTGTAAACAAATGTTTATTGTTGAGAAATGAAATAATTAAAGGCTACACTTGTATCTTTGTTTTGTTTAAACCTCCACATTAGATTTGTCATCGCCATCTTTGCCTTTATACTTTATTTATACTTGAATTCATGTTTGTATTTGTTTACAAAACTGTTTGTATTGATGTCAATAAAGTTTTCGAAATGTTCAAAGTTTTTTTCATTCATTTTGTTATCGTTGATAATCTTAACGTTTTGTGTTGATGATAAACGAAACACGATGGTAGCAGTGGCGGAACTAGAAAAAAAAATCTGGACCCCCTATATATATATATATATATATATATATATATATATATATATATATATATATATATATATATATATATATATATATATATATATATATATATATATATATATATATATATATATATATATATATACTAGGCATTCTGCCTAGCTTCGCTTAGGTTTTCAGAACATTTGAGAATTTCTATACTTAATTATTTAGTGATGGCTGAGGTGTGGAGTGTTTAAATTTAAACAGTAATGCTAATTTTAGAGAAAATGATGTGTTTGTTGTTTAAAGTCCGTTTTCAGAGAAAACATTGGAAAGTTCGCAATGTATGACTAAAATGGAATTATCTACAGAGGTTCCATGAACAGTATATCTCATAATTTATATTACATTAACTTTTAAAATTTATTTATTTAATTAGGATACGTATCTGAATTAAAAACTTAATTTTTTACTGAAGCAAATGCTATACTTTGTCATTTTCTGTTAATGTTTAAAATGGTATACAATTGTTTGAAAAATAATTATTTTAAAAAAGCTACCTCCCTTGAAATTTGAACGAATGACGTATGTCTTTGTTTATTTTGCACAAACAATTTTTTATAAGAAAATACGTCATCTGGACAAAGCTAACTACCCTAAGGGTTTTTTTCGACGGGAATAATGTGTTTTTGTTATCCTCCGGGGTCGGTCTACGACCTCACAAAATATTAGGGAGATCGTTCGTTAATTTATTTATATATTTAATGCGGTCTAGTCATCTATAGAGCTGCATGCAAAAAATTAGACAGATATACAGAGCTTAAGTACCCTAAATTTTGTGTTGAAAGTACCCTGTTTTTCACATAGATTATGTAGGGAAATAAGACTGGTCAGTTTTGACCCATTTCCAGATTTTTCCCGGGCATGGCGAGTTTTTTGTGACACCTCTAGGTGTTCTCCTACCACCTGACAAAATATCAAGAGGGGGGGGGGTCGTCAGGCAAAAGTTTTTTTCGTAAAATAATCCATATAAGGCGCCGGTCAGTCAAGGTCAGTTTTAACCCCCTCTTCGTGGACTTTTCGGCTAACCGGTAATGGCTCTCGTGTTCTATCGCCCCAAGGCAAAATCATGCCAAATTTGAAGCGCCTGCTGCGCGCCACGGTAAATCTTTTTTAAAAGTACCAACTTGGGAACAGAACAAAACTAAACACAGACACAGCGCAAACACAACACGCAAACACTAAAGAAAAAACAAATGCAAACGCAAACGTATAACATAAACACAATTTAAATGCAAACATAAACACATAATGTTCAGAGTCTAGCCCTGGAGCTAAATCGAAACCGGCATGGCACTGGCGGAACCGCCTGATTCAACTTAGTAAACGACTATAATACCCCAACTTATCCATAAAATTAAAAAAAGCAATATTTAAAATATCCGTGTTTTACCTACCACGGTGCATTTTAGCCATCCATGCTAATTATAATATTCTAACAATAATGTCATCTTTCACGTCCGGAGAATTTGCATTCACAATTTTTTTTTATTAGTTTGAGTTGAATTTTCTCCCCTGGTAAAATTATAAGAGCTTTTAATTAATTTTTTTTTTACCTTACTGTCATTACAATTTATCCAATTTTTCTAGTTATCTAAGCGAAACTATTATTTGACATTGATCTGTTTAATATGTTTTTGCAATGTGCGTTTATTTAATATTTTATTTACGTTATGCGAAAGAGTAAAAAACAGTGCCAATTATAGGGTTAGGGTTAGGGTTTACACAAGTTTTTAGTCATTGTATAAAAAAACTCTACCCATCTATTTATAATAAGACACTGACTGCAATGCAAGTAAAAAGCACATGTGGTTTGTTTAGTTTTATGATTCCAAAATCTATAGCGATGACGGACTGGTTAGGCTTTTTAAATAAATGTCTTTCGTTTTTTTTGTTTTTTTTTTAAATTAAAACAAATTACAACAACATGTCATGTGTATGAGTACATTAATCTGTTTTAAAAATCTCTATTTCATTTTATGTTTTCCATAATACTTCCTCTACGTGAAAGCTTTGTATGTGTAATGGTTTCTCGTGTTAGTGGGTTGTTTTTTTCTTGTATTTACATTATTAATTTTAAATACATTTCCTTTTTAAACTGTCATTCTTTAATATGCATTTAAAAACAAATAATTAAGAGAAGTAATTGCTTTTTATTTTGTTTAGTACAAATCTATTAAAAGGAGCTTATGAGCACCCCTAATTAACTATTTAAAAAAGCATTTAAAAAAAGGTAATAAGGTGATGGAAGTGGTGTGAACGTTTGCCTATATTTCATACTACAGCTCATGTATATATATATATATATATATATATATATATATATATATATATATATATATATATATATATATATATATATATATATATATATATATATTACAGGATAGTACAGAATAGTAGCTCTACCAATACAAAATAAGAACATTTTACATTGTAAAATCACAAAGGATTGTGGGCCTCTAACCAACGCTATCAAGAAGCAAAAGTCGTCTTTAATATCTAACGGCCTCTCGCGCAATGGACTGATTTTATTTCAAAATAATTTTGCCGACAACAGCGTGTGTTTGATTGTAGAAGAAAGAGGATTCGCGTTCAGAGTGGTTAAAAAAATACACGAGCGTTTGATGGTGTCTTAGTGCCTATAGAATAAAGATAATCCAACCACAGCTACAGCATTTTTACAAAACAACCATCAAGTAAAAAATGCAAGAAAATGAATTATTTTAACTATAAAAAATTGACTATGGTCGGCTGTGGGCCCCTCAATGGCGTGCCCTCCCCCCCCCCCCCCCCCCCCCCCGCATTACGGGTTCTGGCGGCACCCCTAGGTGGCAGTGAAGAGAAATGTCGGCAGTCAAGTTTGTAACTGAGACTTAATGTCGGTAGTCAAGTTTGTAGCTGAGACTTAATGTCAGCAGTCAAGTTTGTAGGCGGGGGGGGGGGGGGGGGGGGCGGGGGAAGGGGGAATTACACCACCCTCATAGTCATAATACCACTGTTACTAATTTAAATCCAATCCTGAATCAGTATACATGTACAATTGACAGAAACAGTCATGAAAAACTGACGCTATAGTCACTCTGAGTTGATTATTCCCCCTCCCCCCCTCCCAAAAAAAAACCTCACCACCTAAAATGGGACAGGCTATTGTGTAGAGCGACATTAATGCCACACCTAGTTATACGCTGGGTAGGATAATTGACCTAAAGTGACCGGACAGTGATGAATGAAGTTGAACACCCCCCTCCTCCAACCCACCCCGAGCTGATCTATTAAGTATATTTGGGAAAACGCGTAATGAGGTACCAAAGTACCATGCCGCCAGAATCATAACTTTTGAAACAGGTATAACTCAGTAAATATTGTTTTTCAATTACCAGTAAAGAGGTGTGTGATCAATACAGTCATCCAACCCATACCTTATCATTAGGTTATAAAATGATCTTTACAGAACACAATAACAGTAACCAAGTAACGACAACATTCACCCCCATTAATCCCCCTACACTCATTTACTTCAACCCCCCCACCCCCCATGAGACGATCCTGGCTACGCCACTGGATTTCACCCATCTCTAATTGGTATCTAACCACACTACCACTTCATATGCCAAGGTCACAGAAGCGAAGAAATCTCAATCATTTACACCATATACCGTCGGGTTTGAAAGGTAAATGTACTTACTAGCTTTTGAAATATTCCAATCATATAGGAGTAAAGAGAGGATTGAGATGAATTTCTTTCTAGTCTAACAGAGGAGCTGGAGTAATGTGTCTAGTTTTTACAGTTGTGATGTTAAACTTAAGCAGAAGCAACAATTATCTTTTGTCTTCCCACTTGGACCTATTCAAACATTTACATCAAGTATGAAGTCTAGATGCATCAAACGTTTAAGTGTATTTGTCATTAGCATAATGGGTACTTACTAGGACTTCCTATAGTTCGGTATTGTGAGCCAATGGCAGTTGAGTGAAAGTTTACCTTAAAAATACCACACTCATCCACTAAACAAAAACTTTGATTCAACAATGTAAACATTTAACAACATCACAATATTTACAATAACAAACAAGAAAAATTAACACCGAGCCAAATTAAAATTTTGTTGCATATTTTATATATAATGATAGAATTGTAGCACCATTGTTTTTTTGGTTTTTATTTAAATCTTCGGTTCTGTTTAGTGGTGTAAGTTTACACAGAACTCTTCACTTATAATCTAAATATAGTAACAACAGCTAGAGAAACATTTACAGATTTTACAATCGCAGAAATGACGTTGACATGTTTTTATTAAAGGGAGAGCATTCGAACTACAAGCAGCTTTTTGAAATGATTTATCAGTTTACATTTGTCACCATCTCCACATAAAAAATCATTTCCTATCTATCCGTAACTGAAAAAATTAAATACTAAGAGGAAATGTTTGTCACTCTTTTCATTTATGGTACACTAACGATTTTATTTCATACATACCTAAATCAGACAAGTGTTTAACATTTCATAATAATTTAATAATTTAGTTAGATTTAGCAAATTTTAGTTTAATATATATTAAAAAATTGAAACTGTAAATGACATAATTGAAATGTTTCTTTGATAAAGCAGGGAAGTTAGTTATAAAGGATGAACCATCAATATACTGCCAATCCAGGATTTGGAAAGAAAAATATTTTCGGGTTCTTTTTTTTTGGACCACTGCTTACTATGGTTTGTGAAAAATACATCTAGATCTGGTCATCTATTCATGCTATTTCATAATTATCAAATTTTTTTTTTAAAAATACAGATAAC